TACTACTACCACTACTACGATTACTACTACTACTACTACTGCTACTACTACTCCGACTGCTACTACTACGACTACGACTACTACTACGTATTACTATACTAAACTATTACTATACTACTACTTTACTTCTATACTACTACTTCGACTACTACTACTACTATTACTACTACTACTACTACTACTACCACCACCACTACTACTACTACTACTACTACTACTACTCCTACTACGACTACGACTACGCATACGAATTGATCCGAGTAGTATTCATATCAAAACGACCGATTTCTAATTCAGTGTTACTTATGATAGTACTACTACGAATACGAATACGAGTAAGAATGAGAATACGAATAATCAGAACAACCATGAGAACAACGATAATAATACGAATGCTAGTAGATATAAGAATGATGCGTATTAGTATTGCCACCCATCGTAGTATAGTATTGTAGTAGGTGGAGTTACAGTACTAACAGTAGTGATGGTAATAAGATTGTGAAGAAGAACAGGAATTTATAATGTAACGGAGAGGAAGAGGGAGGTTGAGGAGGAGGAGGGGGAATAGCAGAAGCGGAGAAGGGGGAGGAACAGGAAAACGAAGAGGAGGAAGAGGAGGAGGAGGAGGAGGACGCGCAGCAGTGGCACGCGGAGGACGATGAGGAGGAGAAAGGGTCCGCTCCGGCGAAGAGGAAGCGGAGGACGGGGAGGAGGAAGCGGAAGAGAACGAACCAGCATGCAGCGGGAGACGGCGGCGGCGCAGCGGCATTTCAGTGTTTAAGAGGTTTGACGGTCTTGCTCGTCAAGCCGTGTGACGAGCTCTTGCGGAAGAAGGTGAGGAGGAGAGGGAGAGGAAAAGGGAAGAGGAGGAGGAAGAGGCGAAGGCACTCCTCTCCTGCGGCGCGCACTGCCCCCTCATGAAGACACTGAGCGATGCGATGCGATCCCCAAACCCCGGCCAGCTCCCCAGCCCTCCGGCGTCACGAACAGAGTCGAGACGGCCGTTTTCCCGCCGTCTGGGCCACCGCATGCCCGCTTCGGGCCCCGTGGCCAACGAAGCGGCCCAGGGGGAAGACAGTGCAATGACCGCACCGTCTGCGCCTCGCCGGGGGGCGTTTCCGGGGGCTCCGGAGTCGCCCGCGGCCTGCGCCGCCCTCCGCCACAAATAGTCGAGCCCTCTTGCAGGAGCCGGCGCCGCTGGCCAGGCGGAGCAGGTGCTCCGGGGCGCCGCCGGGTTCGCAGACGCGGCGCCCGCCGGGGAGCCGAGCGATCGGGCCCCAGAGCTGCGGGGGCCCCAAGCGGTGCGGTGGCCAGACCGTGCGGTGAGTCCGTGGGAGAGCGGGGTCGCCGCGCGGGGGTCTGGGCCAGTCTGGGGCCCGGCCCGTTCGCCGGGGGCGCCTCGGGCGATCGCCCGAGGCGCTGCCGGGGCTTCGGGGATCTCGACGCCACGGTCCGCCGCCAGGTGGTCTTGGGCCTCCCGGGCACGGTCCGCTGGAGCCCGGTGATCTTGCCGGCACGAGGGGGCGGAAGGATGCGCCGACCGGCCCCGGCTCCTTGGACAGGGCCGCGGGCCTTCGGCGGAGGGGCTCGCGCTCGTGGCCCCGCGCCCCCGTGGCCGTGTTTCCTCGGAGCTGCACGCGCGAGGGGGCTGGAGCAGCACGCCCGGTCCAGGGCCCCGAGGCTCGAGGATCGGCTATACGCAGGAGTGGCCCTGGGTAAGAGTGACCTTGCGTGCGCGGCTTCTGGGGGGGCCGCGGGGGGACCAAACCTGGACCATGGGCCCTGCCTGCCTCCTTTGCATCCGGAGAGCGCTCTGTGGTGGCCCTAAGAGTGGCCCTCCTGGGGGGGAGGGCCCGAAGCTGGGCGCAAAAGCGCCCGGTGGAAGAAAAAAAAAAAAACGCAAGGCCCAGACCTCAGGGTCCAGGTCCAGAGCGTTCCGGAACGCTCTTTCAGAGCGCTCCAGAGCAGTCCGAGAAGTCCGCGGCGCCCGAGACATCTTCCACAGAGCCGCCGGATCTCAGAGTTGCGTTGCATCTTCGGGGGACCTCGCCTGTCCCCAAAATTTGTGTCTATCTTTTCTTGTGCCCGACGCGGGTTCGATGCGGACTCGACGCGGATTTGGCGCGGACTCGACGCGGATTCGACACGGATTCGACACGGATCCGACGAGTCCGACATGGATTCGACACGGGTAGGGCCGCGATAAGACAGGCGAGGTCCCTCGAGATTGCAACATAACTCAGAGGGTCTCGATTTATCCTCGCCCGCCTCGTCTTGAAGGAGGAGAGGCGCAGCAGCCCAGGCTTGCGCAGGCGGGGCGCGGGAGGCTCGAGAGCCCCTGACGGCCAGCGGCCTGACGCTGCGAAAGCTCGAGCACGAAAGAGAACCACGAACAAACAAACGAACAAACAAGCAAACAAAACGAACAAACCAACAAACAAAACCAACAAACAAAACGAACAAACAAAACAAAACCACGAACAACGACCACAAACAAACAAACGAAATGATCGTCGCAGCTCTCGGTTTGACTCATCCCACGATCGACCGGGGGCACCGAATTCTAGGCCTCCTAGATGGGGTTGGAGGATCGCGCCGCATCGCCGATGAATCGCCAATGCTTCAGCGATGCGGCTCGTTGTGGGGCACCAGTTTCGCCACGCCGACGTCGCCGATGCATCGCCGACGTCGCAAGTGCATGGCCGATGCATCGCCGATGTCTCAACGGTGCGGCGTGATTCTCCGACCCAATCTCCGACCCCATCGAGGAGGCATCTTCTTTGGCTCCTCCCACGATCGATAGGAGGAATATTCAAAAATAGTGAAACATACTCTGGGGACGATTTTTTTTTAACAATGTTTGACTATTCGGGGGTACTTTCGGATGTTCTTTCAGCTTTCGCCCGTAGGGGGGCATGCCCGACCTAAACCGTCGGGGGTGGACAGAACCCCCAACAGTGACACGTCGACTAGTGAATTGTCCGTTTTCGGCTCTCGAGAGGGCGCCGTGGCCGTTATTTTCCAGGCTTGCGCCCGCCAGGTTTGGGCCTCAGGTCGTTTTCACTAAACCACGTTTTACTAACGGGGGGTCTGTCCATCCCCGAAACCGACCCCCTCCCCCCCCCCCGCTCGGAGAGCCTCGCCTTTGGGGTCTCGCCTCCTCGCCGGGGAGGCCTGGGCGCCGCGGGGCCCCGGGCCCGAGGGCGGTCCCCTCGCCGGCCGGGCGCGCGCGCCCGAGCGGGGCGGCTCCTCGAGAGGAAGGGGGGGGGGGGGGCGGCGGCCCCCTCCCTCGAGGGGGCAGGAGGAGGAGGAGGAGGAGGAGGAGGGGAGGAGGGAGGAGGGAGGAGGGAGGAGGGAGGAGGAGGAGGAGGAGGAGGAGGAGGAGGAGGAGGAGGAGGAGGAGGAGGAGGAGGAGGAGGGAGGAGGAGGAGGAGGAGGAGGAGGCGCCCGGGGGGGGGGGCTGACCCAGGTTTGGGTCGGGGGTGTCCCTCCACAGGAGGAGCCTTCAGAGATGTCAAGGGACAGTCGGGGGACGACGTTTCGATTGTGTTTGCCGTTGGGCTGTGTCTCTCTCTTCCTT